CAGTACTCCTACGGCACTCAATTTAGTTGTACTAGAGCCTGACTGATTTATCAGCAGGCCAATATTAGCAACAGGCTGTTGTTATAGCTGTTTGCTGATCACTCATCAGTGTCAGAATATATAACGGTCGATAACTGAAAATTAAACAGTAAAGAAGAGAAAGGAGAAACACCCTTCAACCATATTAGGTGTTGACCTTGCACAGTTTGTCCAGCAGGAGGCACTCTGCAACTTCCTCAGTCTGAACGTCACAAATACAACAGTTAGCTATAAACAGTTGGTCAGTTTACCTGAAAATAGTAATTAGTTACTAATTAGTGATTACGTCTCCAAGAAAATAATCCTATTACTTTAATGATTACTTATTTTCAAAACTAATTAGTTACTTTATTCCTTAGTTACTTTTTAAAAACACGATCAGAAGAAAAACAGATCAATCACCTGATATCAGTCAGACTCTAAGCCACACATACCACGAACACATATCCACTCAAACAACTGCCTCGTGAAAGAAAACGAAATGAAGCTGAGATGAGCCAAACTGTTCAAAGAAAAACAAACAAACAGAAAAACTGCTTTTAGAAAATGGACTAAAGATTCTGTTTAATGTTTCCAATTTTACTTTGGATCTGACTTTTCAGGGAGCCAAAAACTCCAGAAATCCCTGATATCACAGCAGCCCAACAGATGCAACAGATGCAGTACACTGGACGCATCCCACCACTACTGTGTGCTGCTCACTGAACAAGAACAACGCAGAGGGAGGAGCTGCGGCAGGACTGCTGCGTGTCATCAGTGTGTTCATAATTTGTTTTAATCATCTTCAGTCATTCAAACCAACAAATTAACCAGACACTCAGATACATGGATATTATTGGAGCTAATCATTACCTGAGCTTTGGGACATAAAGCTACAGCAGAATAACATCTCACTGATTACACCAGCCATGACCTGTAAATGCAGACGTACTTGGCTTGTAGTTATAACACACATTATACAACCTGAACACTCAAAAATGTTCAGTTAAAAACAAACCTTGCATCCTTCAAACAGTAGCTTTTGAAGAGCGCAGAAAAGCACGCCTGTGTTACTGTGACCTGCTGGGCATCCTAAATGCTTTCAGCTCGTTCTGTAAAGAAGAAGCTGCACAGTTTCCTCATTCATAACTCAGCCTGTCATCCTTCCACTGTGCTGTCAGTGTGCGAATCTACTAAACTGGCTTTCTAAGATTTTTGGCAGCAATTGCAATTATTCAACAGAAGTGAATCAGCTATACAGCTACGGCGCTGCTATATTATGAAATAAGGCTCCTTTGTGAAAATGTTTTTTAATTACAAATGAGAAAAAAGAGAAAAAAGGAAACATCAGCACATGGCTGATTAAAAAAATTGAAAATAACCACGTTGGCGTATGTACGAGTGCTCAGGCATTTGGCTCATATTGAAGATAATCTACGCTCGGCTCTGTATGATGTCACTGAGAGCAATTATCACTAATAAGGCCGTTCTAAGGAAACAAGCCCCTCCCACCTGCTGTTCAAGCTTTCTGTTTATGAGGCGCATAAATAAATATTCGGAACTGTGAATCATACAAAGCAATTTTTAGTCCAAGAGTAAAAATGTGTAGAAACGAGGGTCCCTTTAAGGTAAGTAGCACAGGCTTGATGTGAAACATTGACTGTAAACGAGCGTTTCCCTGTAACGGGCAGCAGCAGGTTAAAGCTCCTCAGTGTTGCAGTGAAACTGAGGAGCCTGAGTGCAGCAGGAGGCCACCGTGTCCTGGAAGAGATGTGAGCAGAAGACGGTCTCACTTACTGTCAGTGCATACGTGAGTAAGTGAGTGTGTGACAGAGAGACAAAGTAAATGCATTTGTATTTATAAAGCACGTGTGCATGTACGGAGGCATTACTTATGTGTGTAGGAGCGCACAGACGCTCGCTGATTGAGAATGAATTGTAGTGCACTTTGCATCCCAAAGATAATGGAGCTCATAAACATTTGAGGAACATCTCAAGGCACCCTGAGCACAGTAAGAGCAAGCAGCAGCATATGCAGCAGCATATGCAGCGCTGCGGCAGCGCACGCTACCCGTCAGAACCTCCAGGGACTGAATGCACTTTTGATAAGAGACACAAACATCTTCTGCGCTGTTAATGGTAATTCTCCTCTAAAACATTCAAAACCTGCTTAACAATAGCGTTGCATCACAATGCAAGTGTTGCTCTCACCAGTCATTGAACAAGGGCTGAATCTGCATCTGCAGTGTGCCAGCGTGCTGCTAGGATCCAGCTTTACAGCACACGGTGCTATAGCTGAGCCTTCAGGAGGGGGGGTACGCAAAATTCATGGGCTCAGCTTCATGGTGCGGCTCTTGGGTTTCTGGAAGTAAATGACTGTAATTTTTACTGAAACAGCTGAGACACTTAAATGTTGTGTAACATCAGAAAAAAGGCTGACGGGCTTCAAAGTCAGCAGAACGATGTTCAGCTTGAACAACACTGGGACAGGAGACGTCCAAGACAAGCTTGGTGCTCACAGTTTAACACGGCTGACCGATGCATATGCTGGTGCAGTGAGACCATTTACAGCATTAACTCCATGTGTAGTTCGAGTTAACACATAGATCTCAGAATTATAATTGATATATTATCATTGCCAACAGCTTTTTAGAATTTTTTCTTCTGGCAAGGCAAACATGTCGACACCTTCTCGGCTGAATAAAAACTGCATGTACACCGAGCGCGCGCACACTGTTACACCCTCAGCTGGACTTATAAATGAATATCGTGTTTATATAAGAGAATGCAAATATATCCTTTCTCAAGGAGTGAAAATGACAAGTCACACATCATCTTGATACCTCCCACCCCATCTCACTTCATACAAAACCTGCACAACCTTTAGAGTGACGCGCGAGGCAACATGGCACGTGGCACAATTTCAAAACCTATTCAACCTACACATTTTTTAAAAGCGTTTTTTTTTTTGGAGACCTTTCATTTATGTCTGCAGCGAATGATTTGAGTGACGTATTTATCGGCTGTATCAAAGCAACCCACATGGTCTGTGTATCTGAAAACATTGCTGTTCCACTGACTGTCATTCTTGCGAGCTGCCTACGAGCCCGGTAACTCCCTGTCACCTTCCCCCTGTTGTTGATGTTTACTGAATTGCAATAAAATGAGAAATGGAATCAAAAGTATCTTTTTACATGAACGTCGCCTCTCGGCTAACAAATGCAATAATGACTAAACTCGTTTCCATTCTTACTTTGTTACGCTGTCAACACCAGAGAGAAGGCGCACTGCAAGAAATGGGATGAAGGCAAGGAAAGCAATCAGGGAGGTGACTGGAGACCCCCCCCCCCCCCCCAAAGAAATACGCCTGATGGCACTTAGTTATATGCACTGTAATGTATTGAGGCGGTTAATCACATCTACAAAGGGCCAAGGGGGGCAGCTAGTGCATCATCAGCCAGTGGTTTGTTTTAGCAAGAGAGTTGAGTGGGGCTGAGTCTGGGACGAGGGGTCACTCTGCAGTGCGATGCAGAGCAGAGCGCCATGCTGACTCCAAACCTGAGTCATAGCCCTTTGTCTCACAGTCCACTGAGGGTTCAACAGATAGTAATTACACTTCATGTAATTACACATCAGCACACAGGTATGGTCTGACACAACAGACCTGCTCCAGAGCCAGGCTGTGGGCTGTTACATAACACTATCCCTTTGCCATCATTTGCCAACATGGATGACCTTGAGAGGCGGGCAGAGTCCGGGCTAAGACGAGCAAGGATAGAAGCAAAGCAATCTGAGGCTTTAATTTGGGCAAATATTACAGGAGAGATTAATGTGTGTCTGTAGAAGGGGGGGCAGCAATGATTGGATGGGGCTGGTGGATGTGATGTGGTCATGCAAGATTGATTTGCAAAAGAAAAAAAACAACAACCAGGCGCTTCCCACTGAGGATGATTGGGGTTAAGGACACACACCACACCCCCGTCTTCTTCTTGCACGCACACACACACACACACACACACACACCTTGCGCAACATCAGCACCAGTGACAAACTACAGCACATCACACCACACGGTGCCATGTCATAGCAGCCCACCCCACGCAAGTCACAAGTACAAATCGTCAAATTTCACACAGTCCCCACTGTTACACAGAACAGCCTCGCTCTCCTCACTTTTGTTGTTAAATCCACAAGCCTTGTGTGTGTGTGTGTGTGTGTGTGTGTGTGTGTGTGTGTGTGTGTGT